ACAACATTGACATCCGTCCAAGGCCTGCCATCAAGGGCCAAGCCCTAGCGGACTTTGTGACGGAATGTACCGCAAGAGCAGCCACGGACGGGGAGCCCTCGGCTACCTCGGACGATTGGTGGACCCTCTACACTGACGGCTCATCCGCGACCAAAGCATGCGGGGGAGGGGTAGTCCTCATTACTCCCGAGGGCTTCAGGGCCTACTATGCAATCCGCTTCTCCTTCAAAGTCTCCAACAATGAGGCCGAATATGAAGCCCTCCTATGTGGCCTTCGGCTGGCTGCCAACATGAGGGCTCGGCAGATCCACATCAAATGCGACTCCAAGTTGGTCGTTGGCCAAATCTCCGAAGAATATGAGGCCAAGGATGGAAGAATGAAACAGTACAAAGAAGCGGCCAAGGAGTTGCTTAAGGTATTTGAGGCACACTCTCACTCAAATACCGAGGGCTCAGAACTCCGAGGCCGACATATTATCTAAACTCTCGGCAGACTCCCCCGAGCACATCTCCAAGATTGCCAAAATCGAGGAACTCAGCCTCTCAAGCATCCATGCAAGCCCCGTGATGAACATACAACAACGTCAGGAGGATTGGATTTCAGATATCACCGCCTTCATCTCCACAGGGCAGCTACCCGAGAATGAGGCCCACGCTAAACTTGCAAAGCTGAGGGCTCCCAGCTACACCATCGAAGATGGAAGGCTCTACAAACGATCTTACAATGGCACGCTACTTCGGTGCCTTCATCCAGATGAAGCCGAGGTCGCAATGGAGGAAGTGCACAGTGGCACTTGCTCAGCTCACCAGGGACCCTTATCCATGTCCCGAAGGCTCATTCTCCAGGGCTACTTCTGGCCAACCATGGCCAGGGATTATGCTGACCTTGCCCGGAGGTGCACCGCATGTCAACATTTCCAGAAAGCCCCCGGCAGGCCAGCGGTCAACTATGCCCCCATCAGCACATCTGTCCCATTTTCTCGATGGGGGATAGACCTTGTGGGCCCTCTGCCGAGGGGTACCTCCAACAACAGATACATCATTGTGGCCGTCGACTATTTTACCAAGTGGGTGGAGGCTGAACCCCTCGCCAGCATCACAGAGGCGAAGTGCCGTCACTTCGTCCTCAAGAACATCCTCACAAGGTTTGGCGTCCCCCAGCAGATCATCTCCGACAATGGAACACAATTTGAGGCAGCCCCCTTCTGTGCCCTTCTGGAGGCATGGGGCATCAAACACACCTTCTCCTCCGTTGCCTACCCTCAAGGCAACGGGCAGGTAGAGAACGCCAACCGGACCTTGCTCGAGGGCCTCAAAAAGAAGCTGGAGGCCGAGGGTGGTGGCTGGGTGGAAGAACTTCACAACATCCTCTGGGCCTACCGCACTACCCCTCGGCGCGCTACAGGTGAAACACCCTTCTCCCTCTGCTACGGTTTTGAAGCCAAAGCTCCTACGGAAGTCACCCTTCCTACCCGAAGGGTGATCCAATATGACCCCGAGGTCAACGACAGCAACATGGCCCTCGACCTGCACCTCATTTCAGAACGCCGGGAGCAGGCCTTCATCCGGGCAGAAAACTACCGAAGGCAAGTCAAAAGCTACATCGACGCCAAAGTTCGAACCCGGGAATTTCAAGTGGGGGACTATGTGCTCCGGAGGAGGGAAGCCAGCCAACCAACCGAGGGAGGAAAAATGGCACCAAAATTCGAAGGCCCCTACATCATAGCAGCCATCATCAAACCCGGGACTTACAAGCTCAAACGCCCCAATGGGAAAGAAGTCCCTAGGCACTGGAATGTACACCATTTAGTTAAATTTTATCAATAATGTAAGAGCGGCCAAGCCCTCATAATTAGTAAATGTACTATCCTAAGGCCCGGGGCCTCCAATTTTGAAGAATGAAGGTACATTCAAAACATCAAGCCCTCATACTGACTACAGGCCCCAGGCCTCACCACAAGAAGAACCCCCTTCGGTACCCAGTGCCGAGGGCGGACACCATCAACACCTACAACAAACAGTAGAAACACCACGTGTTTTCAGTCAAGACCCCTCGGCACCCAGTGCCGAAGGTACTTCCCCACCTTCAACATCAAAAAAGAAAAGATTAGAACACCAAGTGTTCCTACAGAAGACCCTTCGGCACCCAGTGCCGAGGGTACACCTCCCTCATCAAATATCGAAACGAAGAAAAAACACCAAGTGTTTCAAAGAAGACCCTCCGGCACCCGGTGCCGAGGGTACACCTCCATCATCAAACATCGAAACGAAGAAAAAACACCAAGTGTTTCAAAGAAGACCCCTCGGCACCCAGTGCCAGGGATATGCTCTCCTAACAACTTCCAAACATCTTTTGGGAAACACCAAGTATTTCATATGAAGGCCCTTCGGTACCAAGTACCGAGGGTAGACACCTCCATCAACTGCAACAAAGGAGAACACCAAGTGTTCCTACGGAAGACCCCTCGGTACCAAGTACCGGGGGCTACACATCGAAACTAACACCAAGTGTTGTTTCTAAAAGCCGTACCCCACGAGGACGCATATACCGAAGGCGCCACCATCGGTGCCGGCGGCACGTAGTGCCCCCGGCCATTTGCAACTAGTGTGAAAATGAAAACCCTTCCTTGAAACGCTTTCCGCGTCACTACCCCCAGGGTATGACAGGCATGAGAAATGCCCAAGATTCGACTTTCAAAAACGGAACGCTATCCGCGTCATCACCCCAAGGGTATGACAGGCACGAGAAATGCCCAAGATTCGACTTCCAAACCGAAACGCTCCCCGCGCCACCACCCCAAGGGTGTGGCAGGCCACAGACTATGTCTAGCGCCGAGGGGACGACTTTCAAAAATGAGGCACTTTCCGCGCCATCCCCCAAGGGGAGGCAGGTTACGGACCACCATATCTTGTGCCCAGGAAACGTCCCTCGATCCCCTCGGAACTCGGAAGGTTAACCCGAGGGAGGAGAGCCATTGGTGTATTCTGATGGTCTCCTAATAGGCCCAGCCTCACCAAGAAACCAAGTTTCTTGATGCCTTCCCTTCACCACCAACCAAAAAAAAGGGGGGGGGGGGGTGAAGGGGAGTAGACTCAGCGAGAAATCAAAGAGTACACTCCGACAATATCACAACATGCCGAGGGCTCCCCACGGGAACACCTCCGGTAATTGAAGACTCCTATTTCCCGAAGGATACTACTCAAAGAAATATCATCAGGAAACGGCTAAGTCCACTACCTGGTCACCTCCGGTCACAAAAACACCGAAGGATGCATTAATACAAAGGGACTGAACTATCCAAGGTCCAATAAACGGTACTTCAAACGACCACCGAAGGCATCTGTTATGCACAAATACCGAGGGCCCTCTCCCCATGACAAGGGTCTAAATCTACAATTTTTAAAGTGTATGCCGAGGGCACACACTCCTCATTGGCTTTCTTCACAACAACAGGAGTCAACATCAATGTATGCTTAGAAAAAATTCTAAGCCCTGAAGGAGCAGCCCCCGGGCACCCGAAGGCTACACAGGGAAGCAGCACTTGAAAAAATTCTAAGTCCCAAAGATTGGGCCCCCGGCCCAACCAATATTACAGCCAAGGGAATATGGTGGCCGAAGGCCATGCAATACAACAACAACAAAAAAGGAGGGTATTATGTCCTAAATGAGTAGCCCCCGGGCATCTCGCAAAGTGATGTAGAATCAGAGGGCAGCCATCACCCGAAAGCTCCCAAGGGAGACTTTACACTTAGAATATTTTCTAAGTCCTACATGTTTTCCCCCCCGGTCAGCTACTCATACATCATAGAGGTATGCCACCTCCCGAAGGCTCTCGAGGGAAACTCTACACTTAGAAGATTTTCTAAGTCGTACATATTTCACACTCATCTCAAGGGACCTAATTGCCGAAGGCTACCTATCAATCGAGAGCTACGGTACACAAGGAATCAACACTCAAGAAAATTTCCTAAGTCCTAAAGAATTGGTCCCCGGCCTATTCAATATTTCAGTTGGGGCTCCACAGTAGCCGAAGGCTACATGACATACTACACTTGCAAAAAATCTCTAAGTCCTAATCCCTACTGAACCCTCGGTCCAACATTCACACATCAGGAAGGGAGGCCATATCCCGAAGGCTCTCAAGGGGAAATCTACACTTAGAAATTTTTTCTGAGTCCTAGGATTTGGGTTACTGCAATCACCCGAAGGCCCTATGGTGTGCTACACTTAGAAAAATTTTCTAAGTCCTAATTGCTGCTGAACCCTCGGTTGCATATCCAGCGGAGGGTGCCCAACTACCGAAGGCTCCCAAGGGCTAGCTACAATCAGATGGTATTCTAAGTCCTAGGACATACATTCAAAGGAACAAGACATACATTCAAAAGAAAGACGAAGGCATACATTCAACAATGAACAGATCAGAAGGAAGCATATCATATACACCAAGCCTGAAGGCAATCATTCAATTACAACACAAAAATAGTCAATGTGATCATTACAGAGTGTGGCCAAAGCCGAGGGGCAACAAAAGTTTCATTACAAGGCTTTTTTTTTTAAAAAAAAATTTGACTAAGTAATAATCTTCTCGGCGGCTTCAGCCTCGTTGTCACCGGGGGCATCTTCCACGACAGCCTTGGAGGAGACTTCTTCTCCGGCAGCATCACCCCCGACGGCTCCAACCCCGTCACCCCCCATCATCACAGAATCATAGATTGTTGGCCGCTCTTCACCCGGGGGGAGGGGAACTCTGACATCTGGTTGCAACGGAGGGAGGCCGTATACCGAGGGGTCAAATTGTTCGAGGGATACACCGAAGTGCCTGGCGAGCCTCCGGTATATCAGGTGCTGGGTAAAGAACTCACCCCCCTGATAGTAGGCGTCGCCCCTATCGGTCAGCCAGTCAACCCCGAGGCCTTCTACCCAAGCGTCCACCGAGGCTGCCACCACGGAGGCAACCCATTCCTTATGGCCCTCGGCCCTCCAGCCCTCAGCAAGGAACTCCGCAACTGCCTCCCCTCGGGCCTCGGCCGCAGCTCTCTCCTTAGCAGTTTGGGCTTCATCGGCGGCTTTCTTCGCCGCCTCGGCAGCAGCCCTCTCGGCCTCTGCCTTGCCTTCGGCTATACCATCAGCCTTGGCCTTCTCCGCCGCCGCCTCCCGAAGGGCCTCCTCCAGCTGGGCAGCATGCTTCACTGCCTCGGAGTTCTTACGGATCAGCCCCTCCACCTTCTTATCCTGGGCGGCCTCGTGAAGACGCCTTTCCTCGCGCCTCCGGGCCTGTTCCCCGAGGGCTATGCAGGCCTGCGAACAATGATCAAATGAGTTAGATTGTTCCTCAGGAAAAAATAAGACTACACTGACAAGATAAGGAAAAAGGAAGCGGATACTTACAGTGAGCGAGGACCGGAGGATCCTGTTCTCGAGGGCATCGTCATCGTAGGTCTCGAAGACTTCCCTGTCCATCTTCGAGGTGATGCCCCGCAGGAAGGCCTTCGGCTCGGCAGTGCCGTGCATCAACGAAGCGCCGGGGGCAAAGGAGAGCTGACGGATCTCCCGGGGTGATTCCGCCCGGGGGGGATTCACCGGATCCTTCGGGGGGACCGATGCCAGAGGCTCATCAACGGCGGGCATGTCATCAATGACTATGAGGGGGGCCGCCTCCCCGACAGCACCCACGGCGCCTTTCTGCTTCTTGGTGGGGGGCTCCACCCCTTTGTCGCTCCTCTTCTTCTTAGCGGCCGCCTCGGCCTTCGACCCCCCGGTCCCCACAGCAGCATGGGCGTCCCCGGCGGAAGGCTCTATGGCCTTCGGGAAAATCGCGTCAACTGGCTTCTGGCTCGAGGGCCCCTTCTCCTTTTGCTGGGTCTTGCCCTTCCTCTTCGCGAACAAGGCGTTGGCATTCATCCTGCTACCTGCAAAGAACGACAGCAACAAGTTGAAAGGTTAGAACCGAGGGGTCAAAAACATGACAACAAACATAACAAAAAATCTCTAAGTACGAAAACGTAAAGCCCCCGGCCGCTACCTCCTGCTCCCACGAAGGCTTTATCGTAGAGGGGATATTTCTCGTCGGTCTCCCCAATGAATCGATACCTCAGGAATCCGAGGGCATACAGGTCCTCCTCGAGGGTGCACTCCTTGATGGTTACGTTCTTTTCCCGACCCTCGGGAATCTTTGCAATCTTCAGGCCATCCTTCTCGAGGGCGGCACTCTTGGCCTTCACATGGCGCCGAAAGCGATTCCGCAACTCCCTCGGGAACGGGCTGTCGGCCAGTCTGATGTAGCACCATCTCTCTCTCCACCCCTTGTTGGAAGAAGGAGCCTCAGTGAACAGCTTGAACTGGGCTATCTGCTGTAAGTTCGCATAGCCCTCAGCATTTGTATGTCCCCCCCGGCATAGGTTGAAGCTTTGGAAGAATAACTCCAGGCTCGGTGTAACCTTCCGGAGTTTGCACAGGTTCACAAACCCCGTTATGTACGAGTGGCTGTTGGGAGTCAGTTGGCAGGGGGCCAGGCCGGTGTACCTCAGGTACTCCCGGAGGAACGGATGGAGAGGGAACCGGAGGCCCATTGAGACCGAAAGCACGTGCACGGCTATACATCCCTCGGGGGGCCGCGACAGCACGTCATCGGGACCTGGCTCGACTACCACGGCCGAGGGCCCTACATGCAATTGGGTGATGTAGATGTCCGCCCTGTCAGCTTGGGACTTGATCTCCAGAGCGGCGGTGTCCAGGAAGGAGTAACCCTCCGGTAGATCAACTTTCCCCCCCTGATCGACGGTCTTTGCTTTCTTCTGAGGGGCGGCCTTCGTCTTTCTCTTCTTCATCCCGGGGGCCACCCGGATGGGAACTGCGTTCAGCGGCCGGGAGGTACTGGCCTCACCAGCACCCCGAGGGGGAAGGACGGCCACAGTGACCTTCGCCCTCTCCTTCTCCTCCTCCTCTTCAGCAACTTGGACGGCGAGGGCCAACTCTTCATCCTCGGCAGTTCGCTCGAATTCCTCCGCCTCGGCCTCAGCCGTCAGATCTTTCTGCACCTCAGTGGCGAGGGCTGCATCACCATAATCCGAGGGCTGACCACTGCTTGACTCCACATCGGAGATGCCTTCGTCCTCCATCGAGGGCGTCCTCGAGATGTCCTGAGAGTCACTCTGGGACGACATTCGCACCCTTGCTCGAAGACTCGTAGACGGTAGTGTTTCCTAACTTTTCTATCTCCTAAACTAAGGGCACAGTACAGCTATGCTAGAAGGAGAAAGGCAGGGAGCACTGACCTCGAAAGCTGAGTTTTGGACCGAAGGCTGAACTTTCTCTCTCTAGAAAAATTGACAGAGCTTCGCTAACAAGTTTATCGCACACGGAGGAATGCCTGGCCTTGGGGTATTTATAGGCGCTGGAATCCGGGCTTGGGCCGGGGTTCCGGGCCTCCGGATGGACGCCATCATTACTCACCGCGTCTTCGCCCAACCAGTGGCGCCGCCCACGGACAGCCTGCCATCACACGCCACGTGTGCCCCCCCAACGGCTATATCCCGTCGTTACATATTCCAACGGCTATATTTCCAACGGCTATATTTCGGAAGCCCCCGGGTTTTTACTTCACTCCACTTCATCAAAGATAGCCTCCGGGTGCACTCACCCAGAAGTGCCCCCGGGTTGTGCCCCGCACAGCACATTACACACGCCTTCGGGATCACCCCTTCAGATCCCTAGGGTTGCATATCAGGGCACCCCTCGGGGTTTCCCCCTCAGCACTGCAAAACCGGGGTAGCCCCCGGGGAGTGCCTCATTGACGGATGGCCCAAGGCACACAGGTAATGTGAGCCCTCGGGTATCTTCATCACCAACCCATCAACAAACAGCGGACCCCCCCGGTAACAGCTTCACTGCTGCCCTCATCTGGCAGGCCCTCGATCCCTGGATTGAGGGGCTCCCCTTCGGCACCACCAGGACAGCAACAGCAAGCCTTCGGCTAATCAACACAGGAGCCCTCAGAGGAGAGAGCCTTCGGCATTCCCGTCATTCCCCACTTTGTACCAAGGTTTGACATTTTCGATTCATCATTGGGGGAATTCGGTGCACTCTTTTTCCCTCATTAGGATTTTTTCCCAAAGGGTTTTTCCTAATGAGGTTTTTAATGAGGCATCCCCCCGAAATGAAACGAAAAGCGTCAGCCTTCGGCCCACAACGGCAACGTAACTACTTTACTCCTTTCCACCACTTTACAAGTGCCTCAAGGAGTGGGGGACTGGAGGACCCCTTCGGGTAAAACATTAAATTACAAAATCTGTGAAATTCCAACAAACAACAAAGCAAGCCCTCAAGTCCCGACATGTGGGTAACTGAGGGACAGCCTTCGGCAGGGACATAAAAGCAAGAACTCCTCACCAACCTCAGAGATCACAACGGGACAACATCAAAGGGCAAGCACAAATTACTCCTTTTCCCTCAAGTACCTCTCGGCAAAAGGAGTGAGGGACTCCTGATGGAGTATATGGCCGAGAACCCCCGGCCCACAGACTCCTACTACTCAAGCAAAAGGCCCAACGGGCCCAAAAGGTCCAACAGGCCCAAATCACAGCGCCCAGAATACCAAGCAGCCCGCACTACGCGCCAGGGGTGCCTTCGGCCCCCCGGCCGAAGGCTCTAATTCTCACATAACAGGTTTTTCAAGCAAACTAAGAAACTGGGGGAAAACGGCGAAAACAGTCGCCCTCGGTACTGTGAGCCCTCGGCACCAGGGTGCCCTCGGTTGAAGGAGCCTTCGGCTACTGCTCTATGGTCGAAGGCATCTCACTCGACAAGATATCCGCCTCACATACGTACAGATCACCGTACTCTGCACAGACGTCCCATCCAACAGCCGCATTAAATGCGGCCACATTCGGCTGCCAGCGCCAACCAGTTGAGGCGACCCCTCGGCCAATGAGCGCTTGACACGTGTCCCTGCCCGACATTTATTGCTGCTATAAATAGCCCCCCATTTCCCCATTTGTAACCACGCTGAATATATATCGAATACACACTCTCTCTCTTACTTGTTCGCTCTGACTTCTCTCTAAGTTATTCCCCGTAATAACCCTTCGGATATATACCCCCGGGTAGACTATCCATCATGAGTGTTTTACGAAATTCGGACATTTGATCTTTTTAAAGAATCTCTTTAAAAGTACGAGAACTTAATTGACTTTTTGTAATAGTACGAGGACCAAATTGATGATTTTTCCTATTTTATACTCCATATAATTTCAAAATATAATACAAATTGGCGAAATGAGAACATATATAACACTTGTTAGAGATATAGTACAACAACAATATTCAAACCTTGTTAGAAATATACCAATTAATATGTAACACCAAAAAAGCATTCTTATATTATCTTTACCTTTTTTATCCAATGAATATAATAATTATGAAATTACTATCATCTTATAAATTTATACTAGTTACACATAAAAATTTATTTAGACTTTAGAAAAAGGAATATGGAAACTTTAGATAAAGACGAGGTGATGTGAAGTTTTCTTGTAAAATGAACGAAATAAGGGTATTTGCAATTTTAGTCCTGTAACTAATAAATATGTGCAATTTAAGGTCTTTTCCAACAAAAAGTACACTTTCTTGCAAAAAATCCAAAGCCGGTGACCCCGTTTCATAGAAAAAGTCCTTAAATTGCAAATATTAATTAGTTACAGGATCAAATTTGTAAGTGACTAAAGTTACGAGACTAATAATGAAATTAGCTGAAAGTTACGAGATGAAAATTGTAAATTTCCCATGAAATAATAATAATAATAGTTTGGTAACTGAAAAATTAAACTTTCATGATTGTTTACAAATGATTATAACTTAAGCACCAAACATTTTAATAGTTTATCCTAATTAAAGATGAATAAATTCGAATAAAAAATGTAAATTTGAAAAAAATATGCTTGATTTGAGTATCAATCTAATTAATGTTAATATTTTTTTACACACATCTAATTTGGTATAATTTAACAAGTTGCAATATTTTTATAATAGTTAACAAGTTGTAATTAAGAAATGTAGTTATTTAAAAAAGGTGGTCGTCTCTAGGGTTTCGCCTAGGTTGCTTTATGGTGGTGGTTTTCGATCACGGGGCCGGTGTTTGTCATGGCTAGATCGAAATGAGTCTAGTAAGCTGGAAATGCAGAGGAATAGCGAACTTGGGTATGATTCAGGGCGTGGCAGATGTTGTTCAAACTCATAGACCGAACATAATCTTCCTTATGGAAACAAAAACACGTTGCCAACGAGCTAAGGATCTGTTGCGAACTCAGGGGTTTCCACAATTCGTGGGGGTAGATAGCGATGGTAACAGCGGTGGGTTGGCATTGGGATGGAACGACGAGGTTGAGGTGTCTGTTACGAAGGCGACCCCGAACTATATGGACTGCGTGGTGCAACTGTCGACTGGGAAGATCCCGTGGCGGCTGACGTGCTATTATGCTTACCCAGAGACAAGACGGCGACGAGAGGCGTGGGATATGTTGCGAGGATTGGCTGAGAATAATAACCTACCTTGGAT